AAACCTACTGTGGCTGTGTAAGATGTCAACTGGGAACACTGAGTAAAGGACGCACACAAACTTACTGTACTGTCTTTATAGCTTTTCTGTAAATTAAAAATTGTTCCCCCAATTTTAAAAAAGTTATTAAGTTACATTAAATGAAAAATTCATCCCCTTGGGCATACCAACCACATCCATGAATTCAATAGTCACACGTGGCTAGTGGCTACCATATTGGAAGGCGCAGAGAAAGAATGCTTGTCCTGTCACGGAGAGTTCTAGTGGACAGCACTGCCCTTCTGTCTTCATTCTACCCAGTGACTCATACATGAAACTCCCAGCATCTCACTTTTCACTCATTTTCTGTCCCTTTGCCCGTTACTATTTCTCTCTACAAATCAGTATTTCCACCCTGCATGTTAAGCCCAGCCCAAAGAGGACTTTTAATGTTTGCAGCAGTTGCCAAATGGTGTCTTAGGAGGTCTGTTTTGGTTTAAGCTTTACTTCTTACTCACGTGGGTCTCACCCAGAAAGCCTGGCATTAAACACCTGTAGGAAAGCTACTGAATAAACACAGCTCCCATAACTCTGGTGATATTAAAGGAAATAATGCAGGAAAAGTCCCCAGCCCAGGGCTGATCCTAAGTGACACCCAGCATTCAAAGAGTGGAGTCTAGTTTGTATCCGGGGGAGTGGGGGGGGGGAGAGAGCTCTGGGCATGTTTCTAGAATGCTCTCCCCAGCTGGCAACCTGACTGTCTGTACTTACGAGCATCCAGCAAACCTGCACTAATAAGAATGAACCAGCTCTGTCTGTGGGTGTCCCTTCAAACTCTCTCTAGAAGTTCAGAAAGCTACAACACGAAAGTAAAGCTGGTTGGGCATAGTGGCTCATACCTATAACCCCAGCACTTTAGGAGGCTGAGGCTGGAGGGTCACTTGAGTCTGGGAGTTTGAAACCAGCCTGGGCAATATAGTGAGACCTCATCTCTATGAAAGATCCTTTAAAAATTGGCTGGGCGAGGTGGCATGTGCCTATAGTCCCAACTAATCGGGAGGCTAAGGTGGGAGGATCACTTGAGCCCAGGAGGAGGAGGCTGCAGTGAGCCATGATCACACCACTGTACTCTAGCCTGGGTGACAGAGCAAGACTCCACCTCAAACAAAAGAATCCAAAAGCATGGCTAGATGGGCAGGGCCTCGGGTGATCTCCCGCCAGGCCCTCAGGTTTACGAATGGGCAAAGTGAGGCCTGGCAAGAAGAAATGTGCTGAAGGCCCCAGTTTAACAAATTATAATTTCACAAATCTAGGATGCCAGTGATTGAGGCCAGCAGAGGCTCATATCTGTAATCCGGGTAATTTTGGGAGGATCACTTGAGCCCAGGAGTTCAAAATCAGTCTGAGCAATATGGCAAAACACTGTCTCTACAAAAATAAAATAAATAAGAAAGTTAGCTGGGTATGGTGGCACATGCCTGTAGTCCCAGTTCCTCAGGAGGCTGAGGCAGGAGAACTGCTTGAGCCCTGGAGGCGGCGGCTGCAGTGAGCTATGATCATGACACTGTATTCGAACCTGGGCAACAGAGCAAGACCTGTCTCTAAACACAAACAAACAAACTAGTATATACTATTGATTGTAAGATGCACCTGACTTCCAAGATATGAGTATGTCAGGGGAAAATGCACGTCTTAGAATCAGTGACACAGGACTCCTCATGCTGACATAGGGAGCTGCTGCTGCTTGCTTCATGGGCCGTGGTGCAAGAACCCTTGAACAGTGCCGAACTGAAGCTCTGAGTCAATCTAGAGCAGAGCTTCTCCACCTCGGTGCTAGTCAGTATTTAGGGCTGGGTGATTCTTTGTTGTGAAGACTTTCCTGTGCTTTGTGGGATGTTCCGCAGCATCCCTGGCTCTTATCCATGCCTGTAGTGCCTCCCCCCGGTGCCGGCAGTCAAAAATATCTCCAGACAGGGTCAAATGTCCTCTGGTAGACAAAATCTCCCAATAGAGGGAGGAAAGCTTAACACATATGTGGTATGTTGGAAATAAAGCACAAAAGCACTGAGTTAAATAGGTCTCTTCATTTCAGGCCTCTGCCATCTTCAGATGCACCTGTCCTTCTTCAACCTCCTTCATGGAGCACTGATAGATCTGGGATTCCAAAGATTCCACCTTAGGAAATACTACCCCGGCACCCTGGGGGTGGGACGGCAGAGGGGGACAGCAGTTGTCAACACACTCAGTCTAGCCTTGACCATGCTGGCAATTCTGGTTTCTAGATCTGACCTTCTCCATCCATCTCCCTATCTTTCTCAGCTCCCTTTACGAGCCCACACAGGGCATTGCTGGACACAGAGAGGCTCCTGATATGCTTGTAAAGAAAAGAAGGGAGCCTGTTGAACCCAGGCCTCTAAACCAGGGATCAGAGGCAGCTGCTGTGAGCCCTGCTTCTGCAGGACAGTCCCCGTCAACAGCAGAGAGGACACGATGCTGCCTGTGGATGGTTCCAGGAGAGCAGGCTTTAGAGAAGTGACCCCATGACTCAAAGGCCAAGTCTCGACCAGCCCCACCCACGTGGCAAGCTGTGAGTCACACCTGCCGTCTCTACACGTCCAAGCCTCCCTCTGCCGGCATCCCGGTCCTGTCCTCCTTCACGGACCACTCTGGCTGGAAAAGACAGCTGGGTTTCCTTTTTAGTGTCTGGCTGTCCTGGAGCCAGCCAGGAAAGAGGACGCACCTTGCGTCATTCCCACCAGCATTTGGATTGTTAAAAAAACACAAGAACAACATTGAAAGAGAAAGCGGTGGGCTCAGAACCGCCCGCTGTCACGCAGCAGCTACAGCATGAAAGGGCTGAACAGGCCCATTTCTGGGGACTTGGTCTGAGAAGGCAGCACTCACTGTCTCCCTAGGAAATCAGTCAGAGCTGCCCCATGTCCCTCCCCCACAAGGGGGCTTCCTGTCTTAATTTTTAAGTAATAATATAAATATAAATAAAACGCTTTAGAAAGCCTAAAATAATTTTTGATAGGAAACACCCATCTTCATACCCCTCTCCCACACCTCAGCTGATTTTCTAGAGGTAAGATTTTTCCCATCATTTCCAGTTTTGAGCTCTTCTGCTGGCTACTGTCATATGCCTAAGCAATATGCTCTGAATGTGCAAGTTCATGTCTTCAGGTCTCAAGGGTAGAGGACATCCAAAGATCCCTGCTCTGAAAGGTGAGGGTCTGGCCGCTCCCACTGTTCCCTGCCTCCCTTCTCGGATCCAGTATTCCAGAGTTTTGTGATTACCTTTAGTCCTTCCTGTGGTTTCCTGTGCTGCTTCAGGTAAACCATTTATTTAGACCAGGGATTACTTTTTGCTCCAAGAACTTGACACAGCCTTTCACCCCACTTCCACAGAAGCTGAGGATGTCACTGCCCAAGGCATTAAAGATTAAATTCCCAGCCCCAGCCACAACCTTGATTTTCATGTTTTGCTGCCAGATTGACTCCTCAAATCAAAAACCAAAAAGTATGCTTCACACACCATAAGATGGTGGAGACACTGGCGAATTAGCTCAACACAGAGAAGCCAGGCTCTGGAGACTGAAGATTCCACAAAAGAAACAGACAAAGCCCTCACCCTCCGGGAGCTTACAGTCTAGCATGGGAGAGTGAAGACCAACTAGGAACAGGATTCTGGGGACATTAAAACAGCAGGCGGCTGTGATGTAAAGTGACTGGGTGAAGGCTCTAAATTGAGTGGTCAGGGAACGCTTCTTGGAGGAGCAACTTTATTTTTTATTTTTTATTTTTTGAGACGGAGTTTCGCTCTTGTTACCCAGGCTGGAGTGCAATGGCGCGATCTCGGCTCACCGCAACCTCCGCCCCCTGGGTTCAGGCAATTCTCCTGCCTCAGCCTCCCAAATAGCTGAGATTACAGACACGTGCCACCATGCCCAGCTAATTTTTTGTAATTTTAGTAGAGACGTGGTTTCACCATGTTGACCAGGATGGTCTCGATCTCTTGACCTCATGATCCACCCGCCTCAGCCTCCCAAAGTGCTGGGATTACAGGCTTGAGCCACCGTGCCCCACCCAGGAGCGACATTTTTAAAAAGCCGCATGAAAGCAGATGTTGTTCTCCCTGATGATGGGTCCCATAACCTGCCTTCCAGAATCTCAGACTTACATGTATCCCAAGAGCCCCACAGACAAACCTCCCACCTATTACAGGAATGTCCATTTTGGCCAGGGGCAGTGGCTCACACCTTTAATCCCAGCACTTTAGGAGGCCAAGGTGGGTGGATCACTTGAGGTCAGGATCTCAAGACCAGCCTGGCCAACATGGTGAAATCCCATCTCTACTACAAATACACAAATTAGCTGTGTGTGGTAGTACATGCTTGTAATCCCAGCTACTTGGGAGGCTGAGGCATGAGAATCACTTGGACCCAGGACACAGAGGTTGCAGTGAGCTGAGATTGCTCTCCAGCACTCCAGCCTGGGTGACAGAATGAGATTGTGTCTCAAAATAAAAAAAAAATAATAAAAAAGAACGTCTATCTTGACTACCTCTGCTTGATTACCTTTGCAGACAGAGAACTCATACCCTCACAAGGCCTCCTTCACACCAACCCAGATGTTCTATTTGAAAGCTGCCTTGTAAATATCTGCCTCCTTTTAGCTTCCATGATGTCCACAAGAGCCAAAGAGAGCAGTTCTGTCCACACTTCAGGTCTTCCTGTCCCTGACAGAAAGCACACTGACATCTCACCCTCCCCAGCCATCTCTTCCTGCTAAGCGCCTGAGGAAGAGAGAGCAGGAGACCACCAGAGCTGCTGTTGGCACTGCCAGGGAGATACCAGCCTGCTGGGCCACAGGCCTAAGAGTACCCACCCCTGCAGTCCTGACCCCTCTCTGGGTTTGCTATGTCAGCCAGGTTTAAGACCCAGGACCCATCATCTCAGCCTCTCCACTGAAGGCGGTGTTGGCCCCCCACCAGTTGCCCCAAAGCAGCCAGCGGACAGTACCTGTTGGAGGCAGAGAGCTCCTGTGAGAGCCAGGGCTGGCCGGAATCCCAGGAGTACTGCTGGGACGTTCCCAGGTGGTCTCTGGTGAAAGAAGAACAAAGAAAATCACTTTGAGAATGTCACAGGGTAGAACCTCAGAGTTTTGCAGAGCAGAAGGAGATGGTCAGAGCTGGAGAAAAGAGAGATAGCCTGTCACCCTCTTCCATAACCCTGGCCAGATGGGACCCTGCTTTCTGCTCCCATATCCATCCACCTCCCTTCCCGCCACCTGCCCCCCAGCCCCATCCCATGTCCACAGAGCTGCTTTTTGCTGCAGGCCCTTCTCCATGAGGCTGGGGCCCGAAGGAGGTGGGCTTCCCATCGAGATGTCAAGATCCTCTGAAACATCCCCTGCTGCAGCCTTCCTATTCATTTGCCCCCGCTTTGTTATTTCTCTCTGAATGTCCACTGTTAACCTGAAACTCCAAAGCACAGAGGACAGAGTGTTGGTGCAGGAGTCTGTAAAGAAACAGGGGCCCTCTCCCACCTTGGGTGACTCCCAAGTTTCTTCCTGATTTCACAGTTCTGTGTCTCATTTGAGCTGCAACTGCTGAATCTGCCTGGCCACCTCTCCCTCTTCCAATGCTCAGCTCCAGGCTTCAATCAGAAATAAAATTGGCCTGGCGCAGTGGCTCATGCCTATAATCTCAGCACTTTGGGAGGCCGAGATGGGCAGATCACTTAAGGTTAGGAGTTTGAGACCAGCCTTGCCAACATGTTGAAATCCCATCTCTACTAAAATTTAAAAATTAGCCAGGTGTGGTGGCATGTGCCTGTGGTCCCAACTACTCGGGAGGCTGAGGCAAGAGCATCACTTGAACCTGGGAGGTAGAGGTTGCAGTGAGCTGAGATAATGCCACTGCACTCCAGCCTGAGAGACAGTAAGACTCTGAGAAGAAAAGAAAAAACTAATACTGCAGTTATAGTACTGTCCTCCAATCACTACTTAACCCACTTCACTGCCATGAGCAGAGACTTCTTATGAAGTGATCTAGTGATAAAAAGAATACTTTCTCACTATATACAATTTGATAATGCAAGAAAACACAAAAAAATAAATATTGCCCATCATCCCACCATTCAGAGGTCATCACCATCAACATTTTGGCATCCATATGTTGATTTGTTTTCTAAGCATATGTTCCTCTTTAAAATAAGACAAAATCAAACTGTATATTCTTTTTATGTATCAACTTTTATGAATATCTTTCCAAGATCTGTCCAGGAGCAACGGCCCATGTCTGTAATCCCAACACTTTGGGAGGCTGAGGCGGGTGACTTGCTTAAGCTCAGGAATTTGAGACCAGCCTGGGCAACATAGTGAAACCCCATCTCTACCAAAAATACAAAAATTAGCCAGGTGTGGTAGCATGTGCCTGTGGTCCCAGCTACTTGGGAGGCTGAGCTGGGAGGATTGCTGGAGCTCTGGAAGTCGAGGCTGCAGTGAGCCATGATTACACCATTGCACTCCAGCCTGGGTGACAGAGCAAGACCCTGTCTCAAAAAATAAAAATAGGCTGGGTGTGGTGGCTCATGCCTATAATCTCAGCACTTTGAGAGGCTGAGGCAGGTGGATCACTTGAGGTCAGAGTTCGAGACCAGGCTGGCCAACATGGTGAGACCCCATCTCTACTAAAAATACGAAAATCAGTCAGGCATGATGGTGTGTGCCTGTAATCCCAGTCACTCAGGAGGCTGAGGCATGAAAATCGCTTGGACCCAGGAAGCAGAGGTTGCAGTGAGCAGAGACTGTGCCACTGCACTCCAGCCTGGGCAACAGTGAAACTCTGTCTCAAAATAAATAAATAAATAAAATAAAACAAAAATAAATTTTAAAATATTTCCAAAACCATTAAGGGGGGCTGTATAGCAAAGTGGTTAGGCTCTGTTTACTGAGGTGATTCTAGAACCTCTGGGTTTGAATCCAGCTCTGCCTCTCACCACCACTCTCCTTGGCCAAGCTACTTATCCTCTGTGCCTCAGTTTCCTCCAATGTTAAAATGAGTTCAATAAGGTATCCACCCAAGGGAGATATCGTATTAATACCAAAGGCCCATATACATGCCTCTAGCGCTAAGTCAAATTTATTTAAAAATTCTATCACTGAAAACTCAGTTGTTTCAAACAATGAAACCAAAACTGGGTTCTTGACTCAATTTTGCTCCAAAACTACCATGCAGCCCTGGGCAAATCACACCATCCCTCTGGTCCTTTGATGCTTCATCCAAAATAAAGAGGTTCAGCTACTTGGTCTCTTAAGCCCCAATACTCCCACTCTCTCACTGTGATTGGTGGTCTTAAGGCTCATTGTTTGGGTTTCAGGAAGGGCGAACCTAGGGCTCCAGGAGCAGGGCATGACAGGGGCAACGTGGTCCCTTCATGTCTTAAGGGAGAGAAAGCACAATTGAGGGTGATCTGGAAAGCAGAGAGGGTGTGAACATAAACAAGAGAGTAGTAGGGTCTTTTATTTTTTTGAGATGGAATTTCTCTCTGTCACCCAGGCTGGAGTGCAGTGGCGCAATCTCTGCTCTCTGCCTCCTGGGTATAAGCGATCCTCCTGCCTCAGCCTCCCAAGTAGCTGGGACTACAGGCGTCTGCCACCACGCCCAGCTAATTTTTTTGTATTTTTAGTAGAGACAGGGTTTCACTAAACCCCGCTGGTCTTGAACTCCTGACCTCGTGATCTGCCCGCCTCAGCCTCCCAAAGTGCTGGGATTACAGGCATGAGCCACGGTCCCAGCCAGTAGTTGGGTCTTTTATGAGGAGTGACAAGGAGAGAGGCTACCAGAGGGCTTAGGAGCTTCCCCAGTAGATGCACTGGCAGGCAAGAGCAAGAAGCCTTGAAGAACTTAACTTCAAAGACCCCTGCCCTGCTTAGGGCCACATCCTGGCCATTCATAAGCTGAGTGACCTCTAGAATCACCTGAACTCTGTATTTTGTTTTTCTCAACTATAAAATGGGGGTGAAAAAGGTATCAAAGTAGGGTGGGAAAGAGTATTAAGTGGGTTTACCTGTGCAAGGCACTTCGGACAACATCAGGCACAAGGTAAGTGCTTTATCAGCATTAAATAAAACAGAGAGAGAAGCCCAGTGGATCTCAGATGAGCAAAAGCAGCCAGGTAGGCAACCCCAGGAGGCCTCAGGCATCATCGAGCCTCAGGCTGCCTTTCTAGGGAGGCTTCTCTTCTCTCCTGCGTGTTCAATCATCCCTGCCTGGAGGCCACACTGCTGTCTTCACATCCAGGTTCCCCTCTCCACCCTCTCCTCCTGAGTTCCCTGGCCCCTGGACACTCAGGGACAGGGCTCACTCGCCATCGCCAGCTCCACCCTATGTTCCATCCCTCACGTCTAATTGGTTCCCAGGGCCTGGAGATGCCCTTCCATCCCATTCCTCTCCTCGTCTCCATGTCACTCCGGAGTGAGTCTCCCTGCCTCTTGAAATCGCCCACTCACAGGTAGTGGAACACTCACCCTGCAGCCCAGCTTTTGCTAGAAGTCACTCAACAGCAAAATCCCCGTATGGCTCCTTTCCAACATGGCACACAGATCAATCCCTGACTGCATCCAGAATGACATCCCACTGGCTTCACTTCAGGCCCAGCTAACGTGCCTCACTGATCTCTGAATATGCCTCTCCTGTATTGTTCACCCACACTCACCGCCTCCTGCTCCCCATCCCTGGGTATTACAACCTTGTTCATTCATCAAGTCTCAATGAAAATGTCCCTTCTGCCATGCAGCCTACCAAGATTGCTCTTCTTCCCTGCAAAGCATTCTTCCCCAGACTCTCTAGAGTGTGTACTGTGGTGCACCATCCAAATCTCTCCAGCTGCAGAGGCTCATAGCTGAGTCCCTCTCAGGGCACTGCCCTTAATGAAAGAGAGCTGCCTTGCCCAAGGCTATGCCTAGGGTAGGGGTGCAAGGTGCATGTGTAATGACTGGGGTGAGGGGGGGTCAAAGGCCCACCAATCCCCTTGTCTCAAATCCAACAATTCTGGAAGGGCCCTCCCAGCTCAGAGCTCCCCGTGGCACTGCGGAGGCCTCCCTGGTGGCCATATTTATTGCAGTGCTGCTTCCCTCCTTCCCCAGGAGTTGCTCCCAGGAGGACACACCCTACTGAAACTCCTGCATATAAATCTGTCTCAAGTCTTTTCGAGAAGTCTCCCAACACACACATTCCATCCAGCTTCCTTCTATGAAATCAGTACACTGTCCGTCTCTCAGACAGCTCAGATCCTAATCTTGAAACCTTACCTTATCCTTGAGGGCTGCAGCCATGGTGGCTCACTCTCTCAAATATGGCACCTGGTCTGGAGGATGGAAGGACAGAGGGGCCAACAGAAGGACAGACATTGCAACAGCACATGGGAGATTCCCACCTGAAGTGCTCTTCAGCTTGCCAGGAATAAACAGCAGGAAAGCTCCCGGACAACCTTCCCCTTTGTGCTGCTGCCTCCACCCCTTTGGTGGCTGACACCATTGACCTTATTTTAAAGGAAGCCTCGAGAGGCAGAGTGGTTCACACATATAATCCTAGCACTTTGGGAGGCCAAGGTGGGCAGATTGCCTGAGGTCAGGTGTTCAAGACCAGCCTGGCTAACATGGTAAAACCCCATGTCCACTAAGAATACAAATATTAGCTGGGAGTGATGGCGCACACCTGTAATCCCAGCAACTCGGGAGTCTGAGGCAGGAGAATTGCTTGAACCTTGGAGGAGGAGGAGTTGCAGTGAGCCTGATATTGCACCACTGCACTCCAGCCTGGGCAACAGAGCAAGACTCTGTCTCAAAAAAACTAAGAAAAAAAAAAAGAAAAGGAAGGCCCATCACCTGTCACGCAGACACTGCCTTTGATCTTCTGGCTGGAGCAGAGAGTCACGATTCATGCACTGACTACTCCTTCCATCCTGCACCCATTCGTCTATCGCTGTTTGCCTACTACCTGTAAGCCACCACCAACCACCATGGACCCAAAGCCAATGCACCTAACTTTAAGATACGGACCATTTAGCAGAGAAGCTGCTGGCTCCTGTTCCTCTCC